ATTTTATAGTTTTTAATGCATGATAATACGCTGGAATTGGTAAGATGATTTAGTTGTGTTTTCTTGATTCATGTATTGCTTGTTTTGCGTGATTTACATTTAAATTGTGAAACTGAAAGTTAAATATAAACGAAAAATTATTTGATTAAGTGAGTGAATGAATGATAGGTTTATTGGATATCATGAGAGATGGTGGACGGATCGGGTACGTAGAGAACTTTACCGTGAACGTTGCCTCATACCGGACGGGGTATGGAGGATTGGTACTTTGGCGCTTATACCGGACGGGGTATGTGGACGACCTATTTCACCATCATACTTGATGGGATATTGAGAAATGATATTTTTGTTACTCATACCGGACGGGGTATGGGGACGGTCGGTTAATTGAAAATGTTGAATAAGAGTTCACGCGTAGTGAGGACATCTCTATGAACCCTCATGGATACCAGTAGGCAGATAAAAAGGAAAGGTTGTTATTCTGGTTAATTGTACATGAGAATATGAGATTGTTTATGTCATTGCCTTTATAAGTCAGTTTTGAAAATTTCGCTACGGTAAGTGTATAATAAATGATTTTACCTATGATAAATAAATTTACTTAAAATAAGAACTCAATTAGTTCTTTTCATAATTTTTATAAACATTCATTTATGTATTGATAAGTAGTGTGACATTTTTAGTGGGTTAGTGTAACTCACTCTTTCATTAACAATTTCAGATCAAGATGAGTAAGATCCAAATCCCGATCTACAAGAGGGTTGCGAATAGAATGTTCAATTGTTTGCTTTCCATTATTTATATATTTTTTTATTGTCATTTTAGAAGGGTCATTCCCATATCCCTATTGAGTATTCTGAATTATTGTGTAAACAATGTAAACCCTAACAGTATTATTTTGCTTCCGCATTCAAATTTATAATTTATTTTCTTTCAAGTTCCGGGTCATTACAATATACATATATATGAACTTTATGAAGAGCCTTATAAAGATATTAAGTTAATGAGGTAATTATGGTGACGTAAGTTTATTGAATCAGGAGAAGCTAAGGAGACTGTCTATAAATGGAGCTAACCTGGGACAGTGTTTCAGCACACATCTCCAACTCAACAATGGACTGCAAGTCTCCCTGCAGATGCTTGCTTATGCTCCTCTCATTCTTCTTCTTCTTCTTCTTCGTCTTTCTAGCAGACGCAGAAAGTCCTCGACAGGTTAGTTGAGAATTCTCAGTACACATATATGTACAATATTACATACAATATGTACAGACATGTTGGTTAATTATAGTTACATGTCACAGGTCTATATTGTCTACACGGATGGTGGATTTGCTGGTAAGTATGCAACCAGCTCCGCTCATTTGAAAATTCTTTAGCAAGTTCTTGAGGACAGGTATAATGAAAAACAATCAACTAATTGAGATTTACTTTGTCAGTTACTAATTTGAAGAAATGATCTTGACAAAACTTAATGTGTTTGAACAAAATTGTCGGGAGAACAGTAATGCAGCTTCAGAATCTCATATTTATAGCTATAACGAGATCTTCACTGGATTTGTAGCTAGACTAATTGTGATCGTAAGTAAATGAGCTTCAAGGAAGGCTCTGTGAATGAGAGAACTTAGAGAGAGAAAGTTGATAGAGAGAGGGACAGCAAAGCAGAGCAAGGTTATGCAACAGCCTCTGTTTTACTGTTTTCTGAAAGGCAGTATTTTTGGAGAAAGAAGAAGTGCTATATTTTTATTTCTTGCTTGTATATATATAGGAATGCAAATAGAAGCAGATTATTTCAACTAACTGATCAAATCAGAAAGCCCGAAATCCATGCATGCACGTTGCATGGTGTTTTCGTATCCTACCATGAAACAACTCACGGTAGATTTGAACTAAAATTGAAACTAAACGGATAAAAAAAACATTAAATTTAACACTCCTCCTTAATGATTTTTTCCACCAATCCCCACATTTCCTCGCAATTCCTCAAATTTAGCTTTAGATAGGGCCTTGGTTAGAATGTCCGCAAGCTGATCATCAGTGGAGCAATGTATCAGCTTTATTTCTTGATTCCTCTCAGCCTCACGTATAGCATGATACTTAACGTTGATGTGTTTAGTTCTCCTGTGCATTACAGAATTTTTCGCAATGGCAATTACAGACTTGTTGTCTATATACAACACTGTAGGTGTTTATTTGTCCAGCTTTACATCATCGAACACTTTCCTTAACCAAATTGCTTGGTTAGCTGTTGTAGCTGCAGCTACATACTCAGCATCAGTAGTGGACTGTGCCACAATATCTTGTTTCTTAGACGCCCATGAGAAAGCACCGGAGCCTATTTTAAAAAAGTACTCAGTTGTGCTACGTGCATCTTCCATGCTTCCTACCCAATCACTGTCACTGTAGCCGACCAATCCACCCTCAGCTCTTACTTTGAATTGAACACCAAAGTTCCAAGTTCTTTTCAAGTACCTCAGCGCATGTTTAGCAGCTTGTAAGTGTGATTCCCTCGGTGAAGCCATGTACCTTGAAAGCAAACTCACTACAAACAGAATGTCTGGTCTAGAAGCCGTGAGATACAGAAGGCTCCCAATCAGACTTCTATAATTCCCCTCATCAACTTTGCTACCTTTCTTGTCCTTTGACACTTCAAATTGGACACCAGTGGTGTAGATATTGATTTACAGTGATCCATGTTGAATTTATTTAGATTTCTTTGGCATACTTGCCTTGTGAAAGAAAAATACCCAA